CAATAATAATAATAAAAAGAGATCTGGACTTTGGAGTGCGAATCATCCTCTAAAGTTCCGATATATATAAGTCAATAGATTCACAAATCTGTTCTGATCTAAATCAAATGATTCGCGATACACGACCTGATTGGAGCGCTTTGAAACGTTGAATCATTTTGCAGTGCTATAGTTTAACTGATTCGGAGTTTCGAAAAGCTCACGAAACACACAAGTGATGTCGAAATTCTTAAATGAATCGCTTGAACTGAATGATCGAGTTTGAATCAATCGGATTGGTTCCAGTGTAAATGACTCACTCAACTGAATCGTTTTTTTCAGCTCCTCCGCTTTTCGTGTTTTCAGTCATGTTTACACGACACTGTCAGCACTACTACTGACTCAGCTCGCTAGTTTTAATACATGAACTGAAATAAGCCAAAAAAATTATATTTACATATAAAATATTTCCATGCCAAAGATAACATCCAACACAAATCTACGAAGGTATTCAGGTGAGGTAACCGGTTTACTGCTAACTAGTGAAACACTCCATTAATATGACGAGCTGCAGCTCAAAACACATGTTAGATGCAAACACTGTGCTTTATGATGGAGTTTGTAGCTTAATTCACTATATTTGAAATAGTTTGAGCTGCAGTTCTGTTGCTGACCGTTCAATAGAAATCGGCTGAAAGCATCCAGTCTCACACCATTGAAGTGAATGTTCAGTTTATCAGTGTATATTGTAATAAATATGAGAAATGATTGTTGCGTGTGATTATAGTAGTCTTTGTAGAGTGATAGTCAATGTAAAAAGCAGAACTGTGCTCGTATGTTTAAAACACTTCGGCTCTTATATGTTCCTACTCCACACATCTAATAAATGTTTTCTAGCGTATTTTTTAAACTTCTCCGGTAATGTCAGTGGTGCGACTTATTTCAGATGCGGCCGAAATGGCAACAACAGTGCTTACATACACATACTTCATTGTTTGATCAAAATGATCGCAAGGGACAGTTTCACTTCAGAAGTCACTCTAGACGCTTCTTCTCCATCTGTCTCTGTCTCAGGGTGTGGCTCTGGACACCAGCAGGCTGCAGGTGGATCAGAGGTCGTCTCCGTATTCTTTTGCCCAGCAGCAGCAGCAGCAGGTTCAGAAGGGTCTGGGTCTTCACCTGCACAGCATGCAGAACCTGCCAATGAAGGTGTGAGAGTGTGAGTGTGTGAGTGTGTGTGTGTGAGAGTGTGTGAGAGTGTGTGAGAGTGTGTGAGAGTGTGTGAGTGTGTGTGAGAGTGTGTGTGTGAGAGTGTGTGTGAGAGGAATGAAGAGACCCTTTTCCCATCTTTATTTATTTTTATTTATAAATATGTGCCTTGCTTAATACTTGTTTATTTGCATTTATTAGTGCCATTGTGTATATTTTGTAAAATATGTTCAATAATAATAATAAAAAAAGATCTGGACTTTGGAGTGCGAATCATGCTCTAAAGTTCCGATATATATAAGTCAATAGATTCACAAATCTGTTCTGATCTAAATCAAATGATTCGCGATACACGACCTGATTGGAGCGCTTTGAAACGTTGAATCATTTTGCAGTGCTATAGTTTAACTGATTCGGAGTTTCGAAAAGCTCACGAAACACACAAGTGATGTCGAAATTCTTAAATGAATCGCTTGAACTGAATGATCGAGTTTGAATCAATCGGATTGGTTCCAGTGTAAATGACTCACTCAACTGAATCGTTTTTTTCAGCTCCTCCGCTTTTCGTGTTTTCAGTCATGTTTACACGACACTGTCAGCACTACTACTGACTCAGCTCGCTAGTTTTAATACATGAACTGAAATAAGCCAAAAAAATTATATTTACATATAAAATATTTCCATGCCAAAGATAACATCCAACACAAATCTACGAAGGTATTCAGGTGAGGTAACCGGTTTACTGCTAACTAGTGAAACACTCCATTAATATGACGAGCTGCAGCTCAAAACACATGTTAGATGCAAACACTGTGCTTTATGATGGAGTTTGTAGCTTAATTCACTATATTTGAAATAGTTTGAGCTGCAGTTCTGTTGCTGACCGTTCAATAGAAATCGGCTGAAAGCATCCAGTCTCACACCATTGAAGTGAATGTTCAGTTTATCAGTGTATATTGTAATAAATATGAGAAATGATTGTTGCGTGTGATTATAGTAGTCTTTGTAGAGTGATAGTCAATGTAAAAAGCAGAACTGTGCTCGTATGTTTAAAACACTTCGGCTCTTATATGTTCCTACTCCACACATCTAATAAATGTTTTCTAGCGTATTTTTTAAACTTCTCCGGTAATGTCAGTGGTGCGACTTATTTCAGATGCGGCCGAAATGGCAACAACAGTGCTTACATACACATACTTCATTGTTTGATCAAAATGATCGCAAGGGACAGTTTCACTTCAGAAGTCACTCTAGACGCTTCTTCTCCATCTGTCTCTGTCTCAGGGTGTGGCTCTGGACACCAGCAGGCTGCAGGTGGATCAGAGGTCGTCTCCGTATTCTTTTGCCCAGCAGCAGCAGCAGCAGGTTCAGAAGGGTCTGGGTCTTCACCTGCACAGCATGCAGAACCTGCCAATGAAGCGGTCGAGCTCCGGTCAGAACCAGAACCCCAGCCCCGTGAGTTACAGGCCTGCAGACGCCTCGCAGACGCTCCCTCCTCTACAGCAGATCAGTCCGGCTCTCAGCGGAGATCTGGACCTGTACAGCGTGAGTGACTGACAGCACAGCCATGCTGTATCATAACTGAGTACCATTTACAGGATACTTCAGAGAGTACTGTGGTATTACAGTGCTACCTGTCCATGAAGATGACAGTATAACTGTGGCCACAGGGCTCTATGCTTTTCTTTTCTTTTTTGTAATAAAAAAAAAAAATTAGGTGCACCTTCTAATCAATAATCCAACATTCTGATAAAAAAATTTACATTATAAAACGGAGAGTTCCGGTGCTTGACTCTGATTGGCTGAGCCGCGTTCGAAGCTGTTGTAAATGACGCTACAAAGTAACACACACCTTTGTTTACGTTTGTGTGTTGCTCGGCAACCACTTTGTAGCAACCACAACTGTTTCTGAGGCGCTACATTGTTTGGTGGAAGAATACTGTGTTTATTAATATCATTACACTTTATTTGCTCCGTTTTATTTTGTGAAACCTTGCTACGTATAAGGAATAATCGTTTTATGAAAGCAGTAACCCCCGTGAAGCCGTGGTTTACAGTGAATTTATAACAGCTAAATAAACCACTGAGTTCCTAACAACGGCCATTAGCTGTTATAAATTCACTGTAAACCACGGCTTCACGTGGCTTAATGCTTTATTCCCATTACGAGGTGATATTTGACTCAAAGTGATTTACAGGGAATTTAGTTTTTACCTTTGCAATGACATTTTTCTAACGTTTTTTTAACATTTCTAATTAAAACAACCGAATAAAAACAAGTAGAATAAGAATAAGTTACCAATCAAATGAAATCAGTATTTAAGAAATACATGTGTGCTACAGAGGTGGCACAGAAGAACACACAAGTGGCTTGTAGGTGTATTTTCAGACGTTTAATGAGGCTCAGAGGTCGCATAAGTGCAACTAAATCCATAAATTCATGTTGAGGTTAATGTTTTGAATATAGAACTATTAAATTATTTAAATAACAGAAAAGATACTTACAAAATTAAACTAAAACTGCCTGCAGGTGGCGGCAAGTCACTGATTTTATCACTGAGTCATTCATTCAATTGATTCGTTCGAACGGCTGATTCATTCAGGAACGAAGTACGTGACAGTCTTTATGAATGGGTGATTGAATCACTGACTCACTAGATTCATTTAAAATTGCAGTTCATTCATAAACGAAACACTGCTGTGTTTGAATGGAGACGCGCAGCGGCTCAGCTGTTACTTTGTTTGAAACTATTTTTGTTGACGAAATAAGGCAATAGTGTTGTAGTCAGACAATATAAGTCACTTAATATTAACTTCTTGTTTAATGAACTGTTGTATTAAATCAATATCACATTTGCAAACTCCCTTAATAATCATTAAAAGCTGTCACTCATCTTAGTTTATCCCGATCTCACAAAACTCACAAAGCTCCTTACACTCAGTGTTGTGTGTAACGCGTTACTGTAATTAAATTACCTTTCCACTGAAAAAGTAAAGTAAGGGATTACGGTTCATTTTTAGGTAATTTAATTAGTTACTTATAAAGTACTTGCGCTACATACTGTAAATAATTTCAACAGTTCTAAAATCAATATTGAATTTGAAATCTAAATTTGCAGTCTAAAGATAAAATTGAATGCAGCGTCTTTAACCCTCTGCGCGCCGGCGCGTTCACTTTCAGTTTTCCCTGATTCACAGAGATACAGATAATACTAAAATCAATCAAATCTACTTTTATTTGTGTACACTGACAATAACAACAAAACACTGTGCTTTTGTAAAATAAACAAAACACACAGGGTGTGCTTTCTACCGTCTCGGTGTCCGTGAGCAACTTTCTACGCGTCACAACCTGAGCGACTACTTGACACAGAGACATGAGAAATATGTCAATAGAAAGCTTTAATCAGCAGAGGAGATCATTTTTGTAATTTCAGGGCTTTTTTGCGCATTTGCGACTGAAAACTACTGCGTGCGACTATGAAATAATATTTAGGAGCACCTGTGCGACTGACCCGATCAGCATATTTGTGTTTGCGCTGAGGGAGCTTCAAAGGTTCTAATATACGTGCGTGTTTCTGCAGCGTTGAGTAATGTATCACAGACATATCCTCTCATTATAACAAAGTGCTGACGGGGTGTAAATAAGAGATTCATTGTGCAGTGTAGAGAGCTTCGTCGATTATAATGGAGTTTTGTGAGATCGCGATGAACTAAGATGAGTGACAGCTTTTAATGATTATTAAGGGAGTTTGCAAATGTGATATTGATTTAATACAACAGTTCATTAAACAAGAAGTTAATATTAAGTGACTTATATTGTCTGACTACAACACTATTGCCTTATTTCGTCAACAAAAATAGTTTCAAACAAAGTAACAGCTGAGCCACTGCGCGTCTCCATTCAAACACAGCAGTGTTTCGTTTATGAATGAACTGCGTTTTTAAACGAATCGAGTGAGTCAATGATTCAATCACCCATTCATACAAGCTGTGTCGCATTCGGAGTGTCCTACTTGCTTTTCTGAAGACTGCCTCGATGACGTATGCAGCCTTCAAATGCGACCTCCAGAGGGCGCAGCCTTCTAAATGAGACACAGCTACAGACAGTCACGTACTTCGTTCCTGAATGAATCAGCCGTTCGAACGAATCAATTGAATGAATGATTCAGTGATAAAATCAGTGACTTGCCGCCACCTGCTGGCAGTTTTAGTTTAATTTTGTAAGTTTATTTTCTGTTATTTAAATAATTTAATAGTTCTATATTCAAAACATTAACCTCAACATGAATTTATGGATTTAATTGCACTTATGCGACCTCTGAGCCTCATTAAACGTCTGAAAATACACCTACAAGCCACTTGTGTGTTCTTCTGTGCCACCTCTGTAGCACACATGTATTTCTTAAATACTGATTTCATTTGATTGGTAACTTATTCTTATTCTACTTGTTTTTATTCGGTTGTTTTAATTAGAAATGTTAAAAAGCTTATAAATGTATTTTTTTGAATTTGACACAAAAGATGACATACTTTTAATAACGTTAGAAAAATGCCTTTGCAGAAGTAAAAACAAAATTCCCTGTAAATCACTTTAAGGAGTCAAATATCACCTCGTAATGGGAAGGTTAATTTTTTATCAGAATTTGTGATTATTGATTAGGTGCTCCTAAATTTTTTTAATTAAGAGCACAAGCGCTCCTAAAAAGAAAAGTAAGCGTAGAGCGCATTAGTTAACGTGTTATTTTTACATAAACCTGTACGGATTTTACTAGTTGGGCTTTTCCTGAACATCTTGCCAAACTGAAATGTATTGTTGAATTTTTCTTAAGCTTTTTTGTTATTCAGATATTTTGCATTTCAGAGTATTTCTATTTGTTCACCAAAGAAGTTTACTTTTTTTTTTTTTTAAATGTTTAAGTATTACAGTTGTTTTAAAGCTAAAAGGCTACGCTTTTCTATGTTTGACTCAAATTGAAAAAATAAAGAGTTTAATTTCTATTGTCTATGCTTTAAGGTTTATAGGGATTTTAAGATGTAGCCTAATTCGCGATTTGAATAATTAAGTTACTTATTGAGTAACAAAATTACTTTTCAGACGGAGTAATTAGTAAATGTGACTGAAATGGTCGCACTGTAGAGCCCTGGGTCACTCGTACCACAATTTTGTTTTTAAATGAAATATTGCAGTGTTTATTATAAATGATTGAAATGCTTCTCTTCTTGTTTGAGAAGCTGTTTAACTCGGATATACTGGATGTCACAATACAGAAAGAAAAGACGATTGCAGCTTCTGTGTTCATGGAAGACTTTACGAACTCATCATAATTCAGTCGAAATTGTGTTTTCATTAAAGGCGCCCGGCCGTACACGGTGCGTTTCTGAAGGTCGGAACGCCGTGAGCTCTGGCACATGTCACGATTGAGTTTATCCGAAAAACGTACGGAGGCAGTCACACACGACACGAATTTACTACGATTTTACAAACTCTGACGTAAGCATTTCTGAATTTCTGCTGGTTTTGCCGGAAATACAACAGGCATATTCATTCATAAAGCTGAACGGCAAATTTGGCACATTCGGAATAACAAATAAAAAATAGAACTGTATAATTAAACTAAAATTATTATAGACTATATGGTTTTTGTCATCTTCTGATTGGTCAACTTCAGATGGATCGCCAAATCGTCTCGTTCAACCGTACATACAGCACGAATTTAAATATTAATTTTGTTTTTTTATATAATATTTTATTTTTTGACATGTTTGAAAATTATCGGGAGGTGCTTGTAACGTCTCGGATCGGCCCGTAATTCTTCTCACACTGTACGAGCCGCGAGCATCTATTTCGCATATGTAATTCGCTTTGGGTGTTGATGCACAACTAATAAAGATTCTTAGAACGCTAATATGTTGCATAGGTATAAACATACAATATACACTCTCAATTAGATCATCCGAATACGAATTAATAGAGACCAAACACGGTATATGTAAGGTTTTCCTATTAATTAATTAGAGAAGAGTCCATTTTTACTGCGCACTGTGGATTTCCTATGGAAATTGTAGTGAGAGGGGTGTTTCTCAACATGCCATTAGGTCGTAAATGTATCTGGTGTCAGGGTTGCCATGGTAACCAGGGTCCTGGGCCCTGTTCACAGACATCTTGGCACCCAGTATGTTTATTGGGTGAGGGGTCTGTGAATGTTTGTTAATCTAATGAATAATTGATTTGTTAAATCAAATGAAAAATGGTGTGTCTGATTGGTCCAGACGCTACACCGTGTACGCCCGCCTTAAGTTGTCTTGAGAAAGCCAGCTTACTGATCTACTATTTAAACTTATTATTATTATTCTTCTTCTGAGCCAAATTTCGACACCTATCTCCTCCTAGAGCTTTCAAGCTTGAGCCACCAAACTCGACCCAGACCTTCAGACTGGTCTGACTCGGTGTATATCTTCTCTAACTGATCCGGCTTACGGTTTTCGTAAACCAGACTATCAAATCCACCTAAAATCCCATATAATTTAATTGAGGGTGTGAAAACTTTTATACAATAAGACTTATGGTGTATTTAAGCTGTCTAATGCTGTAGCAAAGCTTAACTCCCTACTGAAAAAACTGCTAAAACCAGCCTAAGCTGATTGGCTGCGTGTGTGAGTGTGGGTTAGGGTTAGGGTTAAGTTGTCTTGAGAAAGCCAGCTTACTGATCTACTATTTAAACTTATTATTATTATTCTTCTTCTGAGCCAAATTTCGACACCTATCTCCTCCTAGAGCTTTCAAGCTTGAGCCACCAAACTCGACCCAGACCTTCAGACTGGTCTGACTCGGTGTATATCTTCTCTAACTGATCCGGCTTACGGTTTTCGTAAACCAGACTATCAAATCCACCTAAAATCCCATATAATTTAATTGAGGGTGTGAAAACTTTTATACAATAAGACTTATGGTGTATTTAAGCTGTCTAATGCTGTAGCAAAGCTTAACTCCCTACTGAAAAAACTGCTAAAACCAGCCTAAGCTGATTGGCTGCTTTGGCTGGTTTTAAAGTGGTTTTGGCCACTTTTATTAGCAGGTCAGACTGGTCTTAGCTGTTTTTTTACTGAATCAACTGGTTTTAGCTGGATTAGCATAGAAACATGCGAACAACATGCTAGTAACTTGCTAATCATGCCAACAACAGGCTAGGAACATGCTAATCATGCTAGAAACGTGCTATCAACATGCGAATGTTAACAACATGCTAGTAACATGTTAGTAACATGCTACTCATGCTAACAACATGCTAGTAACATGCTAATCATGTTAGAAACATGTTAACAAAGTGCTACTAACTTGCTAATTATGCTAACAACAGGCTAGGAACATGCTAATCATGCTAGAAACGTGCTAGTAACTTTGCTAAACATGCTAGAAACATCCTAGCATAATGCTAGTAACATGCTAATCATATGCTAATCATGCTAGCAATATGCTAGTCACTTGCTAATGTTAACAATGTGCTAGTAACTTGCTAATAATGTTAACAACATGCTAGTAACATGCTAATCATGCTAGAAACGTGCTAGTAACTTGCTAATCATGCGAACACACTGCTAACACCATGCTAGTAACATGCTAATCATGCTAGAAAAATGCTAGCAACTTGCTAAACATGCAAGAAACATGCTTGTCACTTGCTAATATGCTAGTAACGTTAACAACAGCCTAGTAACATGCTAATCGTGTTAGAATCATGCTAGTAACTTGCTAACCATGCTAGTAACATGTTAATCATGGTAACAACATGCTAATAACACGCTAGTCATGCTAGAATCATCTTAGCAACATGTTAGAAAATGGTTGCAAAATGCTAGTAACATGCTAATAATGCTAGAATCACGTTAGTAACTTGTTAGTCATGCTAGCAACTTGCTAGAAACATGTTAACAACAGGCTAGACATCAGCATACTGTAGTGCATTAAAAAAACAATACATACAAAGACATTTCAACTTAAGAGGTTAAGCAGCCAAACATTTCCAAACTCAAAAATGTATAGCTGTGTAAGTTCATTTTTATCTATCCATCTTATATTGCCTTCAAAACATTAAAACTTTAAACTGTAGAACTACTTAAAGCTACTACAATGTTTTCAGTCTTTCTGGCCTGGTTTTTCAAGCCAGCTGTAAAGTTTGACATCAAACTGTACTCCTCTAGTTCATTCTGTGACCCTAACCCTAACCCTTTGAGTCTAATCTAGTAGTACATATTACATAATAGTACATTACAGTGATCTAACCGCACTAACAGACCAGTGTTAATATTAATAAATAAAACTATTGAAATTGTTTTCAGCAATTGAAATCAAAGCCTAAATAATAGATAAAAAGCAACTAACTGAAATAAAATGTTTAAGTACTAAAATTACTAAAACAGAACCTGAAATAAAAATACATTAAAGCAAAATAGAAGTATACAAAAACAAGAATAAAAATGAGAAAAACACAAAAGGCTTAACTTAAAACATGAAATTAAAATGAAAACTGATTATATAAAAATAAAAGCTAATTCTAAATGTGAATGAATATTATATTATATAAACATTAAACAAGTTAAAAACAGCACTGGTCCAGAAATGGTAATACCGTGGTATTTTCCTTCATTTATGGACGAGTGTCTCTTCTGTGTCATTTAGGACACAATGTTCCTGAACTCACTGCTGGACGACCCATACCTCAGCCTGCAGATACGCCAGAACCAACAGGTTACACGCACGCACACTCACTCACTCACTCACTCACTCTCTCACTCTCTCACTCACTCACTCACACACTCACTCACTCACTCACTCTCTCACTCACTCACTCACTCACACTCTCACTCACTCACTCTCTCACTCACTCACTCTCTCACTCACTCACTCTCACTCACACTCACACTCTCACTCACTCTCTCACTCTCTCACACACACACTCACTCTCTCACTCACACACTCACTCACACACTCACTCTCACTCACACTCACACTCTCACTCACTCTCTCACACACACACTCACTCTCACACACTCACTCTCTCACACACACAC